TGGACAACTTATAGAAGAATCAACCAGCTTTCAAATGCACTTGGTTTGGAGACATTTCAACGGTTGGATCTCAAGATATTCCATTACCCCGGAGCTACTCGAAGTCGGTCAGCAACTCACGCGACCGCGGCCAACAAGCTATTTGCCGCGGTCAGAAGCTTCCCGACCGCGGCCAACAAGCCAATTGCCGCGGTCACAACACTCCCGACCGCGGCAATCAATCTCCGAGTTAAAGCCCACTTATCTGAAGCCCAAAGTCATTCTCAGCCTCAATTCCGGAACCTAGAGACCATGGAGTGTTGGAGACTATAAATACATGTCATTTAGGTCGTTTTTAGACACAACCCTTCATACTTTACAGAAACCCTTTTCCTTTAGCCGTTTTTATGAGATTTTTGTAGAAGATTGTTCAAGTCCGAGTTCTTCAATAGAGAAGCTTTCTTTATCTCTTTTCTTTACTGTTTTTCATTACTTTTATTAAAACCAATGATGATGTCGAACTCAGCCATGTCTGAGTAGATCCCGAGTTGGGCTTAGGGTTCCCGAAAGGGGCTCTCATAATCGATTAAGACATCTAGGTTTATTGATCTGGGATTTCGACCTGTTCTCTATTTATTCTTGTTCTTATTGCATGTATGCTTGATTGATCTCCTAGTATCTGATCTAGATAGTTAGTGTTGCGAAAGTTTTCATTAAGTATCAGCCCTAGAATGAAACCGGCGATTTTTCCGTAGGAGTGGAAACCTACCTGCGGCGAGATCGTGAGTATTGGCGAGTCTTGTGCAGCTCTTGCGTTCTCTCCCTTCCAGGGCCAGAGTGGAAACCTACTTGTCAGGGTTGCGAGAAACAGTTGGTTATGATCACGACAGTGTAGTCATACCGCCGTACTCTAGCTCTAGAACCCATATATCGTTATCTGTCAATCCCAATCTATCTACCTTAGTGTTAAAACTGATTATGATCCCTTAGAGTTCCCAAAAGTTCAGCGTTTTTAGACATAGTTTACAATTCCATCGATTTTTACTTGCTTTCTTAGACCTGCATTTCAATTTCCTTAGTTCATTATTTACCTGCTTTATTTACCTTTCATGCGATATTTTACTTGCCTTATTAGTCTTTCATTCGATATTTGCTTATTCTAATTGCATTTCATTCGATTTTATTACCTGCTTTTTAGGATAGATTTAATTGCTTTCTTTGTTTTTAGTTTAATTCGCAAAACAAACAACCAACCTTTAAAACCAATTTAGTCTAGACATAAAGTTAAAAACCGTAGAAGAATACCAGGCACACAAATCTCTGTGGATTTGATCCCTAAATCCTACAACTGATCAGCTGTGCACTTGCGGCTTTCATTTGTTTTGTTAAGGGTAAAACTTGTTCCCTCACGCAGTTGACACGATCATCACTTATGCCTGGCATATCTTCCGCTTTCCAGGCAAAAGTATTGATGTTCTCCTTGAGGAGGGAAAGGAGTTCGCTTCTCAGAGGCTCTTCTAGTTTTGTTCCAATTTCGACGCATTGCTCCGGACGCGCCTCGTCTATGCACACCGAGTCCACTGCGTCACATACCGGCTCGGCGCGTGTTTCGCGGCTCTCCGCGATCTGTAATTGCTATAAGAGTTTCGAGAGCTCGTTCGCGGACTCTCGGTCTGTCTTCATCTTTTTGCGGTCTATGTCTGCTCGTGCGTCGGTGACGGGGTTCCTCAGCTAGTGTTCGGCCAGGCAGCATATTCGTGACTCCTTCTGATTCCCCCATATCGTTTTGACACCCGCTGGAGTTGGGAATTTGAGGCAGAGATGATAGGTGGAGGGTACCGCCCTCATCCCGTTGATCCATGGAGTTCCCATGATCACATTGTAGATTGCTGGGTGATCAATGACGCAGAATTCGACGATCTTAGTGACTCCGCCAGCTACCACAGGAAGCCTGATCGTTCCCATAGTCATCGTTGTTTCTCCTGAAAATCTGGTTAGAGGTTTGGGGATTGCTTCCACCTCGGAGAGGTCGATTCCCATTCTTCTGAGTGTTTCCCTGAAGATGACGTTCACTGAGCTTCCAGTATCGATGAGCACCCTTGCTACATCATGATCCCTGATCGTTAACTCAATCACCAACGGATCATTGTGAGGTCGATCGATTCCTGCCGTTTCCTCCTCGGTGAAGGAGATCATTGTGTTTGGGATGTCGGTTGGTTCTGTCCAATTCTCCTTTGCTTCGGCTCGGCGCTGATAGGTTTTGATGGAGGACACGGTATCTTGGTAGTATTGAGATCCACCCATGATCATATTGATCATTTGCCTCGGCTCGGATCGCTCTTCGGGTTCGGCTCTCCTGTCGCGTTTGGAGTTATCGCCTCGTCGGGGAGGATTCGCGGGTTCCGCCGCGCCGCTCGGCTCGGCTCTTTCTTGTGGTCCATTAGGGACGAGGTCTTTGAGGTTGACCGCGTTTTGGAGCTCTCCTGCTGCCATATTAGCCGCGAGTTTCGCTCCTAGAGTTCAGCATTGTACCGTTGAGTGCCCGTAGGTCTGGTGATACTCACAGAAAGCCTTCTCGTCGTAGTTGGCAAACTTTCTCACCCAAGTGTTGTTGCGCGGCTCTCCTCTTCCGCGTCCGGTGCCTACCTGATAGTTTTGGGCACCTCCACTTCTAGGTTCATCCGAGCTATGCGTTGTTGTGTTGTTCGATGGGTTGCCCTTCTTCGCGGGGCGCGGCAAAATTGAGCTTCGGATTGCTGCTTTCGTTGCTTCGTACTGCTCGTCCAAGTTTTTCATTTCCTCCTTGTTTACGACGAAGTCTGATGACCGGTGCAAAGCGTCTTGAATTGTTTGCGGCGTGTTGAGAGCCATCTCCCGTCGGAACTCGGATTTGTACCACAAAGATCGTTTCAGAGCCTCGAGCGCAGCCTTGTCGCTTATCCCTTCTATTTTAGATACGACTGCCTTGAATCTTGCCATGTAATCCCGAAGCGGTTCGTTCGGTCCTTGGGATAGTGTCCACAGGTCGGCATCAGATGTTCCTCTGTCCATAAACATCGAGTATTGTTTAAGGAATAAGGCGGAGAGCTGTTGAAAACTGCCGATTGAATTGTGTTCCTGTCTTGAAAACCACTCGAGCGCGGCGCCCTTAAGATGCTCCACGAAGAGCAGGCAGTATCCGGCATCTACTTCCCGTTCGGTCAGTTTAGCGGCGTTCTTTGTGAAGGCCCGTCCCATTGCTATCCGAAACGCTGTGATGTGTGCTTTCGGGTCGGTTGTTCCTTCGTAGAACGGGATTCTCATTTTCCCGGGCTCGGGAATCCTTGCCTCCGTGATTCTTGCCGTGAATGGAGTTCTCTGAGTTTCTTCAAGCATTCGGTCGATTTCGGGCGCGGCGTTTGTTGCGTTGTGCACTTGGGACTTCATGGCGCGTATTTCAGCTACTGTCCGAGCCATCGAGGCTCGCATCTCTTTGAGTTCGAGAGTTTGTGCGTGAGTCGTTCCCTTTGATTGGGGGGGGGGGGGGGCGCTCTCGCTCCTCTCTCCTCGGCTCGTCTTCGCGCTCTGCCTGCTCGATCCACTGGAGGTTTTCTTCCTCCTCGGTTGGGTTGTCGCCGCGAGTCGGATCGGAGACTTCGTCAGTTCGAACACCGTTTAGTGCCGAGGCGAGCTCTTCTTGACTTATTCGCCGAGCCGAGCCAGTTTGTTGCGGATTCATGGTTCCGTCGTTCTGCTGGGCGTCCACGTCGATCGCATCGTTTTCTTCTTCGCCGGCTCGTCGCCTTGAGTTCCGGCGGAGAGGGGGCGGCTCGGTCATGTTGACTCGGGTCGCCGCGGGAGTCTGTTCGTCGAGGGACGAAACATTGGAGGAGCCGAGGGGTTTCTTGCGCCGCTCCCTGAGGCTTCTGCAGGTGTTGAGAAATCGAAGCGTCTCCGGATTCCATCCATCGGGTCAGGAATTCCTGCTCTCCAAGTTGGGTGTAGCCGCTCAGCCGCCATCGCGTCGAGCCTCTCCGTAATCGCCTCGTTTCTTTTATCCTGTTCGTCGATTTTCTTCATCAACGCAGTCATCATGTTTCGCATCTCCTCTTGGGTTTCGGTTGTTGCCGTCGTTGTGCCCGATGCCGGAGCGTCCTTCTCCGCGCCGTTACCATTGTTGTTGTTATCATCGTGGATGTTGCTTGCCATGTTCTTTGGATCTTAAAGTCTTTGTCGATTTAGAGTAAGAAAGCTTTGAGTCCCCACAGACGGCGCCACATTGTGTGAGCCAAAACTCGCACAACCAGAAATTTGTTTAAGGAAAACTAAGGGATCGAAAACTTCTAGAGTTTATCGTCAAGAACAGTAAGATTGAAAGAAAGTTTTTCTTGCTGTAAAAGTGTTTAGCTCTTATTGCTTAGGGTTGCCAAAGTTACAGAATGAATTGTATACATCGTCTATTTATACTAATTCTCTGAACCGCCTAGCCGAGAATTTCGGGAGAGATTTTTGGAATATTTCCTTATCGCCTCGTGCGGCTCACCGTCTTTGTATTTCACCTAGGGTTTCTATGGGCTTCGTCTTTCAAGGCCTAGGCTCGGCCCATCAAAACTTCTCCACGACTCGACCCACTTGCCATTCGAATCGCGACGTGATTTGGTTCACCTCACCGAGGCGCGGCTCGGCCCAAGCATGTTGAAATGCGTCTCGGCCCATTTCTCACGATACAGCTCGGTCCACCTGCTTCCTTGCACAGCTCGGCCCACTGGACATCCTTTCTGCGGCTCAGCCTACTTGTTCCTCTTCACGGCTCGGCCCATCTTTGCACGGCGTGGCCCATCTTTCCTTATTCACGGCTCGGCCCATCCGCCTTTCTCCACGGCTCTCCCACTTGACTTGGTGAGCGCAGCTCGGCTAATTTGTCTTTCTTCCATACTTAGTCATTTCGAGATGGTTTTATCCGCTTGGGGTGAAAACCGACCCCAACAAATACCATTTCAACGACCAGTTATCCCTTACAAGACGAAATACAAATCGCAAATTTAAACTTCACTCGGGTTACCACCTTGGTTATCACCTTGGTTTTCTTCTTCATCTTCATCTGTGTTAAGCGGTTCCAACCAACGACCAAGATGTATGCCTAGATTGGTCCTGTTACTTCGTTTAGGGCGAGCTTCTCCGGTTGAAGGGTAGCACTTGTCTCGTTTTCTCCCTGATTTTTTTGTGTCCAAGTTGTACTTGTCTCCTTTGAAGTAACATCTTGCCCATTTTTCAAGATTAACACTGTTATCTAAATACTCAGCTGCTTTGGGAAACCACTTTCGAAACTCTGTGTATGCACTTACAAACTCAACTTCTGTGTATTTGTGAGCGCATTCTCTAAATTTGTCTGCACACAAATCCTTACATCCGACCCTAGCCTTCCCTCTCACGTTATGTGACAAATGCCAAACAAAAAATCCATGTTGAGATAGAGGATACACCTCCTGGACTGCCTTAACAATGCTCTTATGTCTGTCACTCATAAAAACCAGCTCGTCATCATCTGGTATTACAGTTTTCAATGTTTCAAAAAACCAAGACCAACTAGCATCTTTCTCCTTATCAATTACACCCATTGCAATGGGGTAATGGTGATGATTTGGGTCCTGACCTGTGGCAAATACAAGCATACCACCATAAACACTCTTCAGAAAAGTTGCATCCACAACTATGACTTTTCTCATTGCTCTAAACCCTTCAATACTAGCGCCCAAAGCGACAAAGAGATATTTGAATTTATTTCTGGCATCCAGTTTCACACTTGTTACTGTCCCAGGATTAACAAGCTGCAACATGTAAAGATAACAATACAATTTCCGATAACTTTCTTCAGGACTGCCCCTCACCTCACTGATAGCTAGTTTTTTCCCTCTCAAAGCAGTAGAATAGGACACATTAACGTGAGCTTCATTTTGAACAACTTTAATCAAAGCTTTAGGCGCAGGGGTATCTACTTCACCTGGATAGACCCCACGCAAAACATCTGCTACTACTTGTGGTGTGCCTTTCCTTGTATTCTGAATTGTACTTGCAACAACCCTAGAGCATGTATGGATATTCCTATACACTCTAATACTGAAATAAGTAGAATCCTGCATCCTTACGGCATGTAGATACCATGGACAACCATGTTCAGCTTGACGGCATTTGAGTATGAGTCTCCCAGGATCCGACTTTACAGTTTTTACCTCAAAACATCCCTTATGCGAAGCTCTATCTACTAAAACTCGCAAAGCCGCCTTTGAACGAAATTCTTGATGTTTTTCAAAACCAGCGCCATCATCCCATTCTAGAACAAACCGAGTTGGTTCTGCAGCCCGTGGAGGCTCAACATGATCATGTTCATCTGCATATTCATGCATACCTTCCCAGCCGTCCTCGTCCGCCTCATTCTCATCCAGTACCGCATTCTCATCCAGTACAGAAATTTCATGTAATACCTCTAAATCAACACTCTCTATCAGCTTCTCTTGTCCTGGTTGTCCCTCTGCTACCAGTTGTCCCTCTACTACCAGTTGTCCCTCTGCTACCAGTTGTCCCTCTGCTACCAGTTGTCCTTCTGCTTATCCTGGTTTGTGATCAGTCGATTGGCCCGCATTAACAGCCGCATTCTCTTCCATTACATCAACATCATGTAATACCCCTAAATCAACATACTCTATCATCTTCAGTTGTCCCTGTTGTCCCTCTGCTTCTTCTGCAATTTCAGCCACCTTATCTGCTCTGGGAAGCTCCTCACATAACTCGCCTGTCTTTTCTCTTTCCAAATCTTCTACTACCTCCACATTCAGAACAGATCTGAGTCCTTCTTTATCCACTGTTGTTAGATAAACATAAACATCACCATCATCGACAATACATGACTCCCTACAAGGCTTAGCTACCAATGGTATATAGGTCAATCTCAGCTTCGTCGTACTGTTGTTCAACCCAATCTTCTTGCATATACCATCACCAAGCACTGAGTATGTTAAATCGTCCACAGATAAGTCTCTAAATGATATAACATAGATGGGATTTCTTGAATTCCATTTCAACTCTTCTCCTCCTGCTGAGTAATACCCTCCATAATCAAAATGTATGTTTGTGCGGCTCGTCATCCTCTACTGGAGTTTCTGGAAATACAAAAAAAAAACAGTTCCCAATACTCAGCTTTCTCTCACTTGTACCATTTGTACCAGTTGTCCCACATCTACCAGTAATAATGTTGTACCAGTTGTCCGATCACTATAATTTGTACTAATTGTCCACCCCTCTTAGTTGTACCACTTATACCAATCATCCCAACTGTCCTAGTTATACCACTTGTCCCAATTCATCATTCACAACCTAGAACTACAATTCATCTCGATTCAGCTACATTCAGCTTTCAGCTCGATTCAGCTAGATTCAATATCAAAAATCAACTAATCGACCCATATAGGTGTTTACATTATCCAATGTGCTTACTCAAACTCCAAGATTTCACAAATTCATCATCTAAATCGAAAATCTCCAAATTTTCGTTTCTTACCTAATAACTCTGTAGTCGACCTCCAGGCGCTAAAATATGATAACGACGAGTGTAGAAAAGGTCGACGCGGTGACTCGGCCCGATATTTCTGGATTTCAGCTCAATATTCGATTCAGCTGAGCTCAACCCAGAAATCGTTCGAGAGAAAAAAGAAAACAAATTTTAATTTCGTTTAGTTTCATTAATTAAATTATTTTTATTTAATTTCTAAATAAATAATAACAAAATTTTGAATTATTTAAAATAAGAGATAATCGAAAATGTCATAACCTTTTTTTATTAAGAGCAATTTTAGAATTACAACACCACTTATAGCACGTACACTTAATTATGGCACACTTAATTATAGCACCTGATCATTACCTTCTAATTTGTGGCAATTTGGCCATTTTTTCTTTGTGCTTTCGTCAACCTTCTGGAGTCGTCTGGAGGACCTGAGACAGACCCTTTCTCTCTCTCTCTCTCTCTCTATATACCTGTAGCTTCCTTCTTTCCTCTCTCTCTATCTCGCTCCATAGTTTAATACCTTACTAGATTTTAGTACTTTCTGCTGGAAGCTTTACTTGTCGTTGAGACGAGAAAATGGTAAACGACGAGCGCTTGCTGATGAAGAGGAAAGATATCGACAGAGCGAAAGAGGAATTTTCTGATTTTTCCCTCTCTTCTCCTGCTCGAAAGATTCGTCGTCTGGTAATTCATCTTAATCTTTTCTCTGTTTTCTTAATTTATCAAATCCTAGGGTTTCGTTATCCTTACGCGATTCTGTTTTGGATGCATCAGGATGTGAAATTTCCACCGATAATCGAGGAAGAGGAAACAGATGTGGCGATGCAAGAGACGGGTGCGGAGGAAGAACACGAGCCTGCACCTGTAAACGAGGAGAGAGCAATTGTTCTATTCAAGCCTCTCCATTATCATCAGCCTCCTTCTGGGCAACTCTATGCTGATAGAGACTTGATCTCTGGCTTTAACAGTAAGTTTCTTATTACTTTTATCAAATTGTTATCTTTGTGGGTTATGTTATGAGCTTAGGAATAAGTATTAGATGTTCTTATGAAGTTCCTTCGACAATGAGATAAGTCTCAGCAAAACAATCTTATAACTCTTATTAATATGTTATCTTTGGAGATGATGTTAGAAGTTATTGGGAGTGATGTTATGATTGGAACCAATATGCTTAGAAATTGTTATGAAGTTTTTCGACATTGAGATAAGTCTCAGCAAAACAATCGTATAAGATTGTTAAAAAAAAAACAACTTGTATGGAGCCTTGGAAATTATAGTTGTTGATATTCATTAGTATAAAGCACAGAGAATCTGAAGTGGTATCATAAGTAGGCATTCATGATTCAATTGTGGTAGGGATGCATATGATATGAGGCTATGTAGTTTATATATTCGTTTTTTGGGGGAGCTTGGTCCATAAACGTTGCGAGGACTTCGCTTCGTCATATGGTTTCATCGCCTTAGTTATGCTTCGTTTAGTTTATCTTTGATGTTTGAGAGCCGAAGAGTCTGGACAAGATACTGATGAGTGGCTATTTTCTGAATGTGTTTCTTTTCTTGTGCAGATAGATTTTTACGTGATGCATCAAGAGCTGATGACGAACACGGTGAAGACCAGACTTCCAAGAAATGCCAAGCCGTTGTTTGCTGGAATCCGTCTCAGTCTCCTTACTCACAGTCCATAGGAACTTTCCAACAACCCCGTGCATTAGAGATTATCGAGTTGGACGAGTCAGGTGAGGATGCTGTAATGGATGACGCAGCCGCGGTTATAGAAGAGGATAATAGAAGCAGTGGTCTATCTTTTCCTCAACAAGGGCAGCAACAGCTTCAACAAGAAGTGCCCACTAATGGTTTTGGATTTCAACAATGGCAGCAACAGCAACACTGTATGGTTCCGCAGCTTCCGCAAGTCAACTCTACTCCCATCACTTGGTTCCGATGAAGGGGTTAAGCCGACGAAGCATGACCTCTTGTTGAAGCAAATGGGGAGTCCTTGAAGCAAATGTAGAATCAGCTTTTGAGTTCTCTGCCCTTTTGTTGGTGTAGGATCTTATCTTTTGGATGTAATTAAAATAGCTTAGAGATTTTCACGTTCCAACTATTAGCCCAAAGTGAGAGCCTGTAATTTCACATAATGATAAGATTTTGCGATGACTATTGGTTCCTACAAAAGATGTTTCTTCATAAGAAATTAACAGTAACACAGTCCAAATAAGTTGCTTTCAAGTTTCCAGGATCCATCAGTTTGGCATCTCCTGTGCGTATCTAAGTGAAATCCAAAGCTTGCAAATTCGAACTAGGCTTTACTTGCAAGTTGTAACTGTATGGTCAAAATTTTTTGGTGGTTTCTTATTTTCCAAATCAACCAAATAATGCCTCTGTTCCGAACGATCGTGCTCTGTTTTTAGATTCAGTTGATCACCTACCTTTGGCAATCCATCAGATTTGATATTTAAAAACATTAACTTCATGGTTCATGAGAAGTCCAGTAATTTATAAAAAAAAAACAATAGTACCAAAAGACCCATCCTCTTCATAAAAGTAACCTATAAAATAGCTTGCACAGCAAAATAAAACAGATAATACACAAATAAACAAGCTAACCCACGTCCTCAGTTTCTTCGATATACCCGACCCAAAAAAAACAGATGTTCTCTATTTCCGACGAAGAAAGAAAACGGGTTATATACCAGAGATTATCAAAAACTACAGGTAGTTCAGTCAAGATCATCAATAGGAGCAAGAGGATGGCAGCTCTGATGTTCTTGTCCTTTTCAACGGCGACTCGTAAAGTCCAGGCTCGGTTGGGTTACGTAGCTGCAATGCTATCTGATCCTCTGGGGATATCGAAGCCAGTGGATTAGCTGATGTAAAATAAACGACCAAATGTTAGAAAATTTTAAGAGCTGGATTTGATGGAAAATGATATACAAATTGCCGTGAAACAAAGGCGTTTTCTTGTTGATAAGTTCCCTTAGACACCTGTGTTATCTGTTTTAATACACATTAAGCACAAGATTAAGCTACTGAAGGGAACATAGTTGTACAAGTATTGAGATTTGCATGGCTAAGTGAAATGAATATGTTTTCTCTGTGAAGGTATACAAAAAGGAGAAAATATATCTATTCAAATCCGTGTGTAGACAAGTGCCAGTTTTGATAAGTAGTTTTAAGTGACTCTTAAAATATTTAGCCAAGAATGTCGTTTTCAGATATTTCCCAATAAAAAACTAAATCCAACAATTGATAAAGAAGAAGTAAGGTGGGAAATAAAGCAACATACCTCCTGTAGCTACAGGGGTGTTTGTATTATCGGTGGATTCCATTAGTCGAGTAGGGCGCTTCCTTACGTAGTCGTGCTGCAGAGGTTTTGGGATTTGGAACGAGAACTGTGAAAGCTTCACTCCTTCTCTTATGTATTGCGGGTGGTCATTCAAGTACCTGCAAACCAGCAATGAGGTTTGTTAGGACGTAAAGAAGCCGTCCATATGTTACTCAAAACAAATTGGTAATCACTAAGTTTTTCTTCTACCAATGCTCAAATGCCGCAGGACAGATTTATGATAATATCATAGTTTAACTAATTCCTTCGCATTGCACATTTTCGTTCGTAAACAAAACACAGGCAAAGGTTTATGTAGTTTGCATCACTGCCTAACTTTGGAGATAACACTTCGAGATTCCAACTATATGTTCCTGCTGATTCTATATATAGGTTGGCAAAAATGGTAAGGCGCTGATACACTGATACCTCATGGTTATATATACGCAAATGTAAAAGCAAAGCACTCTAGGAAAAACAAAAACAGATCCTAAATCAGAAAATCGAAGAAGTACGAATCGATAAATGTAGCTTTCTTGTTGTGAAAACGTATATGTTGTGTAGGAAAAGGAAAAAAAGAGGAATTGGAAAGGTAGAAAAACTAACTTATGAATATACGATATGTTAACTAATTTCTTGGCATTGCACACTTTCGTTTGTAAACAAAACACAGGCAAGGGTTTATGTAGCTTGCAGCACTGCCTAACTTTGGAGATAATTATCACTTCGAGGTTCTAACTATATGTTCCTGCTGATTCTATATATAGGTTTGGCAAAAATGTAAGGCATAGATAATCTGAGACCTCGTGCTTATACATACGCAAATGTAAAATCGAGGCATTTTAGGAAAAGGAAAAACAGATCCTAAATCAGAAAATGAAAGAAGTACGAATCGATCAATGCATTGGCATTGTTGTTGTGAAAGCAAAAATGTTGTGGAAAAGGGAAAAAAGTGGAAATGGAAGGCTAGAAAAACTAACTTTTGGACTTCCACACTTGATCGAAGCTTCTTTCCTGACGGAGAAACATAATAACTGAAAGACCAAGAACATAAATTATAAGGAAAGCTTTGTTACACACTACATGTTTAAGAGGAAAAAGAGGGAAGAGGAACGTACACATCAGCAAATCTGGTACCTCCTTCACCTCTAATACGCAGTAGACGTTGCCAGCCAGTGGGTGGACGAGCGATGCTAGGCTTATCAATAGCCCAGAGACGAGTTCCATCTTGAGAGATATCTTCAGGAACATCACAAGACATATTTGGTTTCCACTCGCATGCTGCTTCGCAGAAAAACGGATTTTCTAGAAGCTGTTCCCTTATCTCTTCATACTTCTGCATCGAAGGCATGAGCCTCCATTTGAAACAACTAGCACACTGGACGGTAAAAGCACCGATAGAAGGACACGGTGTTTTGTATGCAGAAGAAGGCTGAGATTGGGTAGGTTGGCCTTCTCCTTCAGTATCACTTCCCTTAGAGACATAAAGAACCAACTGATTCTCGGTGGCATCGTCAGTAGGTGAGGATGATCCTGATCCCCCCGAAGGTTGTACTGCTCGAAAATCCGTACCACTGGAGAAAGGAGCAATCTTTCTTTCCTCCATTACATTGTTGGATTCATTTCCATAGCACGGCTGCGACATACTCGAACCTGTTTTATATTCATCACAATTACGCTTTTCTTTATGTGAACATCATAGGAGAACACGAAGAAATTAAAATTCAGACAGAAAATTGATCATGCAAGCAACAAATGATACAAATAGTTAACATCTCTTCCTCTTTGAATCAAAGAACAGTCTCTGTGAACATCGTAGGAGAACATAAACAAGACGATAAAATCAGAATGTTTTACCATGGAGCTTTTACTTTCTGTCAAGGAATATGGAGAATCAACAATTGAATAATCCAGACAGAGAGTTGATTATACAAGCAACACATTCATACGAGTAAACGAAGAGTTAACAAACCCTCTCATGTATAAAACTATTCAAACTCACAATCAGCTCTACCAAATTGAGTGAGGCAGAGAAGGAAGAGAAAGGCATATCAATGGAAGCAACAATAATCAACAAGAGGCAAGGTGCGGTGAGAGAGACGAGATCCATACAAATATCATCGAAAGCTTAAATTTTTAAGGAGAAGAAGAGAATCATTACACGAGGAGAACATGGGTTTCAGAAATCGGTGAGAGATTTCCTGACAGAATCCGCGAAGGCCGTAAAGATGGTTTCGTAGATTTCTCTAATCCGACAATAATCCCACGGAACCAAATCGATCTAAAAGCTTTTAGATTTGTTGGTGTTGTTGTCGAGACAGAAATAAGGAGAGAGAGAAAGTGAAACCGAATTTAATTCCTTTTGCATAAATATATTTGTGGGGATAAAAACCAATTAATTTGTTATTGATTTTTTTTTTGTTCGCCATTGTACCATAGAAAACTAGTTTATTAAGAGCAAGTTTAGCAAGAAACCTATGTGGATTTCTTATAAATTATTTAAATTAGGAGAGAATCCGCGCGTATGCGCAGGTGTTGTTTTAATTTATATTTAAATAATAATAAATAGTATATTTTGAAAATTTGTATTGAATTTTATGTTTACTATCAATATTTTTGTGTTTAAAATATTTATATTTTCTTCGATTTTTTCTTGATGATATATTATTTATAATCTCTTCTATACCGATTATGCCAAGTAATCTAATTTTTTTCGAAGATAATAAATGACTAAAAATCTATTATTTTAATTTTTATATGAAAACGTAATAGTTTCACTTAAAAATATATATTCAATATCTCTCTTGATATTTATTTGTTCTTGGATATTCGATATTCGATTTTCATATTCTTTTTTCTCTTATAAATTTTACTAATATAATATTTGTTAAATTTTCAATTAATCATTTTAATATTTATTTATTTATTTATTAAGATTAACTTTGATATAATAGATATGTATATGAATTAAAGTTTGTATAAATATATGAATAATGATAGATCTAGAAGACATATGGTGTCTTGAAAATCCAAATTTAATTCAAACCCATAAATATCAATGACTATTTTTTTTTAAATTTGTTTTTGTGTTTGTCCCACATCGATAAACTTGGATAATTGAGAAGGGGAATCTGCACTATAAGTAAGAGTCTTCATCTTTTCTTTACTGCAATTAAAGCATACAGCCTTATACATCCACGACAAAGAAATATTTTACATACGACAAAAAAAAAGAAGAAAATTTTTACATATCCAAGTTGTGGGCCCAAAACGAATTCTGTGTGGAAGCCATTCCAGATGGCCTGAAATTGGGCCTGAATAATCGTCTAGGCCCTCGATTTTTTTGAACATGTGAATTTTTTTTTAATTAAAAATTCAAAAAGACACGGTGTCAAGCAGCTGAAGAGAGTTGATTGTCTTTTATATAAGATAATAAAGTTAAATTAAGAAACTTATTTAAAAATTTATGTTTTTTTTAAGTATATTGGAGAAATCCAAATAGATTTTTTTAAAAAAAATATTTTTAATTCATATCTAAAGAGACTCATAGTTTGTAATCTAAACCATACTTTGTAATTTTCATAATTTAGAAAATGTTTTAAATTCTTACAGATCAAACTGAGTAAGAAAATAGAGGGGAAAAAAAAACTTGGTTTAACTAGTTGTGTTGCTTCAATAAACAAATTAAAACAAACAGCCGATGATTTTTTAACTAGTTGTGTTGCTTAATCATCAGGCTTATCCACGTGCAGTTGTTTCTTCTTACCTAAGAAACACAGGTAAACCAGCAAAATCTGATCATTTCAGAAACAGAGACATGCTTAAGCTTAAGAACAAATAGTCCACAAGTTCTATAAACCAAAAAGAAACCAACATATAAAGACGAATCAAGAAAATAGAGTGAATGTGTGTACCTGTCTTCTTTTTGCCAGCAGCTTCTTTCTCTGCCTTCAGTTTTTCGTTTGTTATTGCTGTAATATGGACGAAGCAACGTCTTTCACATATGCTGCTTTCATATTAGCCAAAGATAATCTCATCACTGTCTTGAGTAGGCTAATATAGTGAAAGCTTTTCTGCAAATACAGCGAATATATATAGGGCGATTCTGAGGGCGATCTAGGGTTTCTAAGCTTTTTGGCCACGCAACGGCCAGAATCCACGGCGGCGCCGAGACAGGAGGTCCCTCCCGTCGGAAAACATGGCGCAGGTGATGGAAGAATCACTGCAGAAGGAAACGATGTCTGGGTTGAAAGGAAAAAACGAAATAAAAGATGGTGATGGTGAAAATAGGGTTTCTGTTGAAGAAAACACGAGTCCTCTACAGGGGAAGAATATTGGTGCGGTTGTTACTAAGGGTGAAGTGAATCATGTCGAAGGTCAAGTGCCTGCGACATCAAATTCGGAGGAAAAAGGGGAATCATTGGGTCCGCCTCGTGACCTGATGGTTTCATCGCAAACAGTGGATAAGGGGAAGTCTTGGACTTCGGTGGTCAAGGATTCTCCGAGTTTGCAGAAATTTGAGGTGGATGTGGCTATTGTTGATGGAGTAGAGACGATCTCTGTTCCGGATTCGGTATTTGACAATCCACCTTTATGGACAGACTGTATTGTAGGGAAATTAATGTCTAAGGCACCACATGTGGGTTCTATACACATGATCGTTAATAAAATATGGTCTGTGGGAGGTAAAGCAGCGAATGTTGAAGTGTTTGTGGTAGATGATTCAACTGTCAAGTTTCGAATTCGTGATGCTAGTATCCGAACTCGTGTCCTTAACAGAAGAATGTGGAACATTAAGAACGTTGGAATGGTGGTGTTTAAATGGAGTCCACTTGCAGAGGAAGCTCAACCGGAACTCACGTCAATGCCGTTATGGGTCACATTTAAAAATGTGCCACGCTCGCTCTACTCTTGGGCTGGTCTAAGCTTCCTCACTAGCCCTCTCGGGATGCCCAAGAAGCTCCACCTAGACACCTTATGGGCAAAAAACTTTGATGAGGCAAAGGTGTTTGTTGATGTAGACTTGACGAAGAAGTTACCAAACTCTTTTAACTTCAAGCTTAAGAACGGTAAAGAGACCTGTGTCAACTTTGAATTTCCTTGGCTCCCCCCTCGCTGCACTTTGTGTGGCACATGGGGACATCACAACAAGGAGTGCTTGGCTGGACCGGGTACAAAAGAAATCTTGAGAAGACCTACTTCCCCAAAGAAAGCAAAGCAGAGTCAAATACCAATTGTTGTAGAGCAGAGCTCAACTCTAGCGGTAGTAGAGAAGACAAAAACAGTGATGGATTCTTCGTCAAAGAAAGAGGTTGCAGAGAATAGCAACACCAACAGAGTGGCTGCAGACTGTACTGTAGTGACCCCTGACGTTTCCCCAGCAAAGTTGGCAGAACTCCCGAGTCAGCCAATAGTAGAAACAAATAAAGCAAACGAACCGGAGAAATTGCAGTGTGTCTCTCCCAACAAGGTGGGACGCCAAAAAACCAAAGCACATGAGGACATTGAGCTTGTGACTAACACCCGATATCTGGCTCTTTCGAATGACGAGGAGTTAGAAACAGAGGCTTCTCAGTCGGGTGATAATGAGGCCGATGCGGAACTAAGGGATGATGCTGAATCCATTCGAAGTGGCAGTAAGAATGAGGAAAAAAGCTCAAAGGAGTTGGGTACTCGCCAAATTTTGCCTCATGCATCAAAAACTGTAACAAAAACAAATCCAGCGAACAAATCTTCTTCTACTACGACGTCTGCTCAGAAGACTTCGGGTAAAAAGAAGAACCGAAATCGACGAAATCAACATAAATGACGAGCTTCTTCTGGAATATCAGAGGACTTAACAAGTAAATAAGCATAGTGTGATAAGGAATTGGTGCATTGGAAATAATTTCGAGTTTGGTGCTCTTTTAGAAACTCGAGTGAAAGAAGCGAAATCTGCGTCTATCTTTTCGTCGGTGTTTAATGGCTGGTCGTTTAAGAACAACTATGAACATCACCGATTGGGTAGGATTTGGGTTGTGTGGAAGGATATGGTCAGGGTTACTCCGGTCTTTAAGAGTTCTCAGATGATATCAGTATTGGTAAAGATACCAAGTGAAGAGAATGAGTTTTTATGCTCATTTGTCTATGCCTCCAATTTTGAAGAAGATCGTAAGGTTCTTTGGGATGATTTGCAAAGTCATTCTACCTCGCCTGTTTTGCGGAAGTTGAAATGGGTAGTCATGGGTGATTTTAACGAAATTGCTGCTATAGAGGAAAGATCAAATTCGGACAATTATGCTGGTTCCGACTCTGGTATGTATGACTTTCAGGATATGATCCGCGACTGCAGGTTCACAGATATGGGTCGCCATGGTCCTTTGTTTACATGGGGGAACAAGAGATCAAATGATCTTATTTGCAAAAAACTGGATAGAGTGATGATCAACGATGTGTGGCTGATGAACTCTCCTTCATCTTATATTGTCTTTGAGACAGGTGGCTGCTCGGACCATCTCCGTTGCCGTATCCACCTGACTCCTGCGAACTTTTCTGTTAAAAAGAGGCCTTTCAAATTTGTAAATGTGGTTGCTACACTCCCAAGTTTTTAACCTACAGTTGCGAATTTTTGGAAGAATACATCGCCTCTGTTTGTCTCGACGTCAGTGCTGTATCGATTCTCAAAAAAAATTAAAGGATCTTAAAGGTCCCATTCGGAAAATATCTAGAGAGAGCCTAAACAACCTATCGGCTAAAGTGAAGGAAAGCTTTGAGGTATTATGTGAAAGACAAGAACAGACTTTGCTCATACCGACCCCAGCAAATCAGGAGAGTGAGAAAGAAGCAATGCAAAGATGGGAACATGTTTCCAAACTTGAGGAAGGTTACATGAAACAGTAGTCAAAATTACATTGGCTCAATGTTGGTGACAGATGCACAAGGGCTTATCACTGTGCCGTCAAAGCACGCACTGCGAAAAATGGAATCAGAGAGATCAAAACTTCAGGAGGAGAAATAGTTACAAATCAGGAGGAGATCAAAGAAGAGGCTGTACGGTTTTTTGAGGAATTCTTAAACAAGGTTCCTACAAACTACCAACATGTCGAGGAGGATTTCATAACAGGGCTGTTGGATTTTAAATGTTCATCACAGGATCAAGAGTTTCTTATCAGGGAAGTAACTGAAAAGGAAGTTCATGATGTTCTATTTGGTATGGCGAGTGGGAAATCACCAGGACCGGACGGATACACAGTGGAATTTTACAAAGCAGCTTGGCCTATTATTGGGAAGGATTTTGTGATCAGTATTCAAGCTTTCTTTACCAAGGGTTTTTTACCAAAAGGGGTGAATTCAACAATCTTGGCTCCCATACCGAAAAAAGAAGATGCTATGGAGATGAAGGATTACAGGCCAATCTCCTGTTGTAATGTCCTATATAAGGTTATTTCCAAGATCCTTGCAAACCGTCTAAAACTCATTCTGCCTCTGTTTATCGCCCCAAACCAATCTCCTTTTGTTAAGGATAGACTTCTTGTTGAAAATCTTCTCCTAGCTTCTGAGCTTGTTAAATATTATCACAAGGAATCCATCTCTCCTCGCTGTGCAATGAAGATTGATATCTCCAAAGCTTTTGACTCAGTACAATGGGACTTTTTGATTATTATATTGCAAGCTCTGGGCTTTCCAACACAGTTCATTCACTGGATCAACCTGTGCATATCCTCAGCTTCTTTTTCTGTTCAAGTTAACGGGGAATTAGCTGGTTATTTTGGTAGCAGAAGAGGTTTAAGACAGGGTTGTTCTCTCTCTCCATACCTTTTTGTCATATGCATGAATATTCTCTCTAAGATGATTGATAAAGCTGCAGCTGAAAGAAGAATAGGGTATCACCCACATTGTAAGAAGCTAGAGCTTACTCATCTCTGCTTTGCCGATTACCTGATGGTATTTTCTGATGGAAGTCTAGGCTCTATGGAAAGCATCATTTCGGTTTTTAACGACTTTGCTACCATATCCGGGCTACATGTTAGTCTGGAAAAGTCCACAGTTTATTTAGCAGGTGTCGCAGGAGACCTACGAGCCACTACGCTTGAGAACGTACCATTTGTAGCAGGAACTCTCCCAGTTCGCTATTTAGGGTTGCCGCTCCTCACCAAGAAAATGACTAGAATGGACTATGCACCTCTCATTGACGGTATACGACGCAGAGTTCATTCCTGGACAGCTCGTTTCCTGTCGTTTGCAGGTCGTCTACAGCTCTTAACCTCGGTAATATCTGGGTTGACTAATTTCTGGATCTCGACTTATCGACTCCCAAAAGGATGATTGATGAGATCGATAGTATCTGTGCGGCATTCTTGTGCTCAGGACCTGAGTTAAATACCAAGAAAGCTAAGGTTGCTTGGAGTGCGGTTTGCGTGCCAAAGAAGGAAGGTGGCCTTGGTTTGAAAAACCTTCGCAATGCAAATGATGTCTCTGTTTTAAAATTGCTGTGGAGATTACTTACTTCAAAAGAATCATTCTGGGTTCGCTGGATTCACTCGAGATATATTCAAGGAGCTTCTGTGTGGGCAATTCGAAATCCAACTAGTTCTTCACCAGGTACATGGATGTGGAAACAGATCCTTAAAATCAGGGAAAGAGCTCGGGATTTCTTGCGAATGAACGTAAGGAATGGGAAGGGAACTTCCTTCTGGTTCGATCACTGGTCATCTATGGGCCCTCTGGTGGAACTAACAGGAGAGAGAGGGTACATTGATCTTGGTATGAATTCAAAAGCCACAGTTGCCACATCGATCATTTCGCACAGAAGACGGAGACACAGATACCCCATTTTCAACATTGTGGAGGACATGATCGACGAAGCTCGAATTCTGTATAAACCTGATGAGGATGACTTGGTACTCTGGAGATACAAACAGGATGAGTACAAGAACCGTTTCAGTACAAAACAAACTTGGGAACAATTAAGGGAACCACATCCTCTTGTTCCCTGGCGTAGGGTGGTGTGGTTCGCTCATAACACTCCCAAGTTTGCTTTTCAGGTCTGGATTGCTATCTTAAATCGACTTCCCACAGGCGAACGAATGCTAACATGGAGTGATCATCTTTACACATCATGTGTATTCTGCCTTCACCCGATAGAATGCAGGGATCATTTGTTCTTTGATTGCCCTTACACAGCTCATATATGGACTGCACTAGCAAGAGGTCTTCTCGGTAATGACTTCACCTGTGATTGGGAGGATTTTTTGGCTTTCTTAATTTGTCAGAATCAAGGGCGCCTACAGGTCTTCACAATTAAATACTTGTTTCACATAACCATCTATTACATCTGGGGTGAAAGAAACGCAAGACGACATGGCGAGGACTTTTTCACTTCGCAGCAGCTGATAAAGCGGATAGACAACGGCATGAAGAATAGATTCAACTCTATTCGCCTCCAAGGGGATCAGAAGTACGAGGAAGGATACCAGTTTTGGCTAGCATTTAGTCCTTTATAGTGACAAAGCTTATGGTTCTAGTTTAATCTTTTCAAAAAACAGCAAACATCCTTGATGTAAAAACGTTTTTTTTTGTCTGAATAAATTTAACATTCATTCAAAAAAAAAAAAAATACAGCGAATATAGTTATAACACGGGTGGCCAATCTTTATCTGATATTTGGCCACATAGAGATAAGCAACACTTCGCATACCTCATATGGTATTAGTCTATGAGAAATCAACTCATCATATTCCAAGAAATCGCTTTCAGACTTGGGAATAAACATATCGACACTCTTCTCTTCAGTCTTTGCTCCAAAGAGTTCAGCAGTTGCCTGGTAAAACACATGTCCCTGTATATAGCCATTACTAATTTTCCACATATTCATGGGAAGAAAGATACAAGAGTTACAGAAAAGAAATGTATTCACACAGAAACACACATGTATCAAACACTGCTTAATATACAAATCCTACCCCAATCATCCATATGTTCTGCCAATTATCAAGAACAAAGTAATATGAATATGGGCTAGGTTACAAGCGAAGAATTCTACATGATCTACATATGAGATCTCTACATATGAACTCTACATAATCTGAACAAGTAATACAGCTTTCACAAGAAGTAGTTGAAAGTCGTCGGCCTCTGAAACCAGATACAAGTGAGAACTCTACATATTATACAACCTGTACTAATCTTTTACATATCCAGGGGGATATAAAAACAAGAACTAGAGAGAACACACACAAGGACTTACAAGCAAAAATCGAATCCAAACACCTAAACCCAAATCGAAGACCCAGAATTCCAGATCATACCCAACCCAAAATCAGGTAATGAGAGTAAGGGGGCATGAGTAAGCCTGTCTTTTAGGAGCTGGAAGGCTTCTTCCTATGCCGTGTCCCACTTGAAGCCAACATCCTTCTTTATAACCTCGGTGAGTGGTGCGGCAAGTGTACTGAAATCTTTAACAAACCGCCGATAAAACCCGGCTAAGCCGTGGAAGCTCCTGACCTCACCAATGGTCTTAGGGCTGGGCCATTCTTGAATCGCCCTGATATTCTCTTCATCAACCTGGATTCCGTTAGCTACTACAACAAAACCTAGAAAAACAACACTATCCACACAGAAGGTACACTATTTCAAGTTACCGTAGAGCCGTTCCTTCCTAAGTATTTCTAGGACTAACCGTAGATCCTAAATGGTCTACCAAGATTTTGCTGTAAATTAAGATGTCATCAAAGTATACAACAACAAAGACACCTATAAAAGACCGCAAGACGTGATTCATGAGCTGCATAAAAGTGCTGGGCGCGTTGGTTAAACCGAAGGGCATGACCAGCCATTCATATAGTCCGTGCTTTGTCTTGAAGGCCGTCTTCCATTCGTCTCCCCCTTCATTCTTATTTGGTGATAACTGCTTTTTAAGTCTATCTTAGAAAATAGACAAGAACCGTGAAGCTCATCAAACATATCATCCAAACGGGGAATGAGATGCCGATTCGTTACCGTTATGCTGTTTATGGTCTGGCAATCAACGCACATTCACCATGAGCAATCCGTTTTGGGCACGAGCAGGACCGAAACCGCGCAGGGGCTCATGCTCTCCCGAATGTGTCCTTTCTCCATGAGTTCCCCGACCTGTCTTTGTAGTTCCATGGTCTCGACTGGATTAATTCGGTACGCGGGTCGGTTTGGTAAAGAAGCAGCGGGAACGAAATCTATCTAGTGCTCAATCCCGCAAATGGGTGGTAGACCGCTGGGGCTCTCATCCGAGAAAATATCTTTAAACTCCTGCAAAAGTGGTAAGACACTGCTCGGAAAATCCTGCTGAGGATCATTAAGGCTAGTCAAAGTGGATTTAAACATAAGCAAAATAAACAGCTGTTTTGTGTGAACTGCGTGCTTAAGCTCACAAGGTCTCACGAAAAGAGGTTCTTTGCTCACGAGTGTTACCTCAAAGGCCTTTTCTGGGGGTTCTCTCAGGCTCTCCTTTTTAGTGGAAGTGTTTGGGGGTTCACTCACAATGTTCTTCCCTTTGCTGCCTTGCTCAAGGTTCATTTGATCCATATAAACCTCTCGTGGTGATAATAGTGCTAAGGTTATATTTCGGCCATGATGCTCAAACGTTTGCTTATTGGTGAATTCGTCATGTATGGTTCTCCGGTCATACTGCCATGGTCGGTCCAAGAGGATATGGCCTGCTTCCATGGGCAATACGTCGCACAAGACCTTATCTTCATATTGGCCAATGGACAAGGGCACCGATACCTGTTTGGTAACCTTTAGCTGTTTTTGATTGTTTAACCAACGAAGGCTGTAGGGCTGAGGATGCTTGCGTGTCTCCAGACCGAGCTTTTCCACCATAGTGGTACTAGCAACGTTCGTACAGCTCCCGCCATCTATAATAAGGCTGCAATCCTTTCCCAACACATAACACCGTGTGTGGAACAGGTTTTCCCTTTGGTCTTCCTCTTTGACCGGTCCTTGTGCTAGTAGAACTTGCCTTGCAACAAGCAACTCTCCCTCGGCTGCATATTTCTCAGCGTTTTCTTCATCATATATAGGTCTGGTGTCTTCTTCTCCCTCAGACACGATCTCACCTGAATCAAGAATCAACATTGCTCGCTGGTTAGAACACTTATTCGCATAATGCCCTTTACCTCGGCATTTAAAACACTCGATGTCTCGCGTTCTGGCCGGTGTAGCCTCGGCCTTTCCTCGGTAGTCGGCTGTGGAGGAACTTGGCTTGGAATCTGATTTAGGCCGAGTATCCGATCTTGCCGGATAGCTGGTTTTTTCTTCTCGGTAGGCTGGATGGGAGTTGGTTCCCTAAGTTGGCCGAGAGGTACCTGTCCTTTTGAGTTGTTGTTCCACCAATATTGCTTTGTGCAGCATTTCAGGCAGGCTCGCATACTCCTGTCGCTCCATCCGATCTTGCAGCTCCCGGTTCAAACCACTCAAAAACCGAGCCATGGTTGCATTTGTTTATTCATCCACATCGGCCTTTAACATAAGCCGCTCCATTTCTTGGAAATAATCTTCCACGGTTTTTGTCTCCTGAGTCAGCCGTCGAAGCCTGGTGTGCAGCTCCCGGTTGTAGTGGGCTGGAACAAACCTGTGTCTCATTAGGGCTGCCATCTCGTCCCATGTAGCAATAGGTCAGAACCCGTTTCTTCTCCTGTTAGTCACCACCTGGTCCTACCAGTCAACCGCGTAGCCGTGGAACTCGGTTGTGGCTAAGTTCATCTTCTTTTGTTCGGAGAAATTTTGACAGCCGAAGACCAGCTCGATCTTCTTTTCCCACTCCAGAAAGGCATCTGGGTCGTTCTTTCCGTAGAACGGTGGAATTCGTAGCTTCATCCCGGCGAGGTCATTGTCAGGTCGGCCTTGGTCACGGTCAGGGTCGTTCTGCCTGTTCCTTTGGTATGGTTCCTCCTGATCTCGGTATGGTGGTAGATCATCTCGGTACTCGTCTTCTGAGTTTCGTCGGTTATGCCTATGTCTGGGCCCTTGCATTCGAAACTGTCTACCTTGACCTCGGAGAGCACCTCGGTAATGCCTATGTCTGGGCCGGCTTGCTCCGGAGGTATGGCCGTCCGCGTAGAAGAATCCATCCGCTGACTCAATCGCTCCATCAACTCGGTGATTTAGTTTAGTTTAGCGTCCATGTCTTCAGGATTAACCCACCGAATATGGTTGCCGTCATGAAAGGTGTAATAGTTCCACTCGCCGTCTGAGTCTAAAAGGCCCAATGACAAATAATGGTACCTCGAAAAATGAACAAACTCGTTAGTAACAAAGTTCCTCACTTAGTGTTTCTCTCTTGAATTCACCCACACTCATAATGATCTCACTAACACTCAAGAGATTTCCCTCGGTTATAATGGAACTGGTATCAAGACAAGATGTAGCGTTCACGAAAAAATCAAAATAACAAGACCCCAAGCGAAAAGATAGATAGAAAAGAGTTTTGTTTTCAACAGATTTTTTTTTTTGACTTTTCGTTTCATTTTGTCTTATTCAGCGACAAGTGTGAGAGTGGTGATATGTTCATAATTTGCATCATTTAGGTTGTATATTTCATTCCAAATCATATCTTATTTCATGCATTTTAGGTCTTTAGGTGTTGTTTTAAGACTTAGGGGTTTGCATTAGGTCCAAGTAAGTCTTGCACGTTTTGGAGTGTTTACAAGTGATTTGGAAGCAGTTTGGACCTAAAAAGATGAAGCCAGGAGAAGAAATGGTTAATGGGGGTTTAAAAATGGTGAAATCAGCCTTTTGGGGATTCTCGGCGCTAGCCTGTACCGCGGGAAGCTTTTTCTCGGCTATTTTCATGTACCGCAGGTGGATTTCTCGGCCAAAATGCGTATCGGCTGCTCAAGTTTCTCGGCCGAAATTCCCGGGTGCAGAGACATCTTCGAGTTTGCGTTACCGGAAGGTCTTGCCGGGCGATTCAGCCTCCAAGGTCTTCAGCAAAGATCAAGATAATGGAGTCTAGATCTCAGAAAAGTTAGAGTCGATGAGTTTGAAGCACCGAGCTGAAAGATACGGCCACCGGAAGACAGACCTCTTACGCATCCGTTCTGGAGCAATCCCATACGTCTGGAAAGATCGCCTGTCCGGGGAGTCTTAACGTCCGATTCAGATTACAGGGTCTTCAGTAAAGTTGGAGATGATCAGGTCACGGATCCATAACAGGTAGTAGCATTGGATTTGGAGTCGTGAGCAGAGAGTTAAACTCACCGGAAAGCACACCTGTCTCGCTTCAGTTTCAAGACCGGTCCGATGGGTCACAAAGATTGCGTAGGACGATGCCTTTCCATTCTGATTCAGTTTCCGGGGTCTTCATCAAGATTCTAGATCTTTGAGTGCTATTTCCAGAAAATATAAGTTCATTCAGTTTGGTACTATATGCTGAAAGATATCGTCTCAGGAGTGAACACTGGTCCAAGAGCTTCCTTTTGATTGTTTCAAAGCACTACAGAGATGAGCTGTCCAGGGAACCTTCCAC